CTCTCTCTCTCTCTCTCTCTCTCTCTCTCTCTCTCTCTCTCTCTCTCTCTCTCTCTCTCTCTCTCTCTCTCCTAAATCTCTTGCTGAGCAACCGTGTAAGGTCTATACGCAGCTCTCCCCGCTCTGACCTCTCTCTCGACTGCAATTCGTGTAAAGTTGTAAATTGATTTTCCCAGATTCTTCTTGCAGGGGTTATTACCCGCGTTATGGAAGGACCCAGGGCGTATCCTGCTGCTGTTGCCTGCCAATACTCTATTACAATTCAGTTACCCGTTTCCTCTTCGTCCACCCTTCCAAGCCTGCCGACCTCACAGTTGTCAGAGTCGAGCTACTCATCCATCTGCTGCAATCCCAGGTTCCGCCTCCCTCACTCCTTCGTTCTCCTTCTGTGCCCTCTGATTTCCTCCACCCATTCCTGCGGAATAGCTGCAACAGTAATATGCAGTCTTTCTCTCTTTGCAGCCTGATGTGGCAGCCTCTGCAGTTCCTCCTCCGCCCTCCATTCAATTCATTCTCTATCCCATAGGTGACCCACAGTGCTGATTCCGCACTTGAGCCATTGACGTCCAAAGGCACCCAGCTTGCGAGACCAAGGAGAGGGCTTACCATCAGCATCACAGATTGGCAAGAAGGGGCTGCTTAAGGATCTGATCTGTGGTTGAGGGATTGTCCATCATGGTATAAGCTTTCTCCAATGTGCCAAGATCGGCGCCCAGACTGTCCGCTTCGTGAGGCCCACCAACAACTGCCTGTCCAATAGAGAGGTGAACACAGCATGGGACTGAATTCTCACTGTCGCCGCAATTCTCTCCTTGGCCTGGGCCGTCCCCTGGTCCCTCGAGTCTGCTGCCAACAGCCGTTGGACATTATGAGCCTGCAGTGCTAAAGCTCGTATTCGAAGGTCTATGATGCGCACACCACCATCAGACTTAGGCTGAATGATCCTAGTCCAGGCCACCCTACGAATCGTTTCTCCAGGGCTTGGTCTCCCTGACCACAAAGTTCTGGTCACTGCAGTTCTACGCAAACCGAAGGTCCACCTTCTGGCATATATACCGCCGCGACATACCACAGCACTGAAATTGCCGCATAATTCGCCATCACTGCACGTCCCGCCCCATCTCGTCATGCGGTCCCCAGACTCCAACTCCACACCTTTAATATCCTCATTGAGGCACTGGCCCTTATCGTCTCGTGAAGATGCTCTACGTACACAATGTACAGTGCAGGTGCCATTGGGCAGCCCTGCCTAAAGGATCTGGTTATTTCAGTCGCACGACATCTATGTCCATTAACCTGAACTACCGCTGTTTTCATTTTTCTTCTTTCTTTAAACCACCACTACCTTTCTCATATGTGGGGCTGCAGGCATCAAATTCAAATTCGGCCGCCACGCGCCGTCGATGAAAAATATCGAGGGCGGCGTCGCGGCTATTTTTCAGGAGTAGGCTACTAGATGCCCGCGGGTGACGTATGGGAAAGGTAGCGGTGGTTTCAGTTGTTTTTTTAATCAGAAGATTCCGAACCTTGAACAGATCCATGTCCATTCTGGGGAGCTTCAGTCCACTTCCTATTCCACCGGCAGGTCGAAAAGGATACATCATATACTCACCCTACGCTCCCTCCCCATTATGGTTGGACGGCCCAAGTGGACGGCATTGACTACTTCCCGTGGGAAGGATATACCACCCCTTATACCATCCCTCACCCATGCCTAATCTGTCCTCATTGACTTACTCTTGAAGTTGGGTTGGCTCTGGCGTCCTCGAATCTACTCAGCTTATGCCTAGCTTCAAACTACTAAAATAGTACATTTAAAAAAAAAAAAATTATGAACTCTCTTTCCTTTTTATCGGGTATGGAGCTGTTTCCTTATCTTGTTCCAGTTTCAACAATCTGTTTGATCAACTTTGATGATGATGAGGGGATTCTCAGGGCTAGCGTTGATATCGTGCAAAGTTATTGCGCATCCCCTTTTCCATATGCCCCAAAGAATCCCCTTTCTTCTTCTTCTTCTTCTTCTTCTAACTTTGCGCATCCCCTTTTCCATATGCCCCAAAGAATCCCCTTTCTTCTTCTTCTTCTTCTTCTTCTTCTTCTTCTTCTTCTTCTTCTTCTTCTTCTCTTTTCTAAACACCAGCAGCAGCAGCCAGGAGTGATGGTATGACCATACACACCTATCTGCGCCGCTAATGGCTCCATTCTATTGGTGGGAATCAGCACCTGCTGGACACCAGGTCCAGCGTCCCATAGAACATCAGGACCTGCTGGACACCTGTAGTACCAACAATGTAATAACAGTGTTTGAGAGATGCTGCACACAGAGAGAAAAGCCTCTTCAGTCCTAGATGAACTTCCAGATATAACCTGCCAAGCAAGCTTCCCCTCCCGCATACTAGGTAAAATGTAATCCATCCCTTCCCAAACCAACAAACCATTCCCCCATGACTTGTGTGGAAGGAGGAAAGCGCTCAGACAAGCAAGATGGCTGAGAGGATGGCTGAGGGAAGCTCCTGGTTGAAGTCTGAACCAGTCTCGAAGATGAGCTGAAAGTCCCTCTTGAAAGGCACCCCAGTCCCCTCCTGTCCTGGCCACATCACATCCTCCCCAATCCCTCCCCCCTGGCCCTGCAGAATCCCCCAGCCAGTCCTGAACAAATTGCTGAATCGCTTTTCAAATATCCTTTTTCTTTTGGGATTTGTACAGTTTTGCAGTTTTGATTTGTCCATTGCATTGACATCTAATCTCTGATTAGGGAAAAGAAGAAAAAGTTTGAATCCTTTGAAAGGGGTGGGGGGGTGTGGTTCTCTGTCTAAGAACAGAGTGGTGGGTTTGATTATGACAGTTCTGCTGGAATGTTTGTTCCAGGTCGTTTCTTTTCTATGTCGTATCACAGTTGTTTCAACTTGTTTGGCTTTTTTAACCTTTTTCCCAGTCTATTAAACAGTGGTTGAGATTCCTCGACGTGTGAGTTACATACTTTGAAGTTTGCACCATGTTGCTTGCTCTGTTCTATTTTCCTTTCTCCTTCTGTGTGAGAGCCATAGGTTGACAAAAAAAAAAAAAAGAGCGCCATAGGTTGACAGTGAGGTTATGAGCCGCATTAGGATGGGGTTAAAAAAAAAAAAAAAAAAAAAAAAAAAAAAAAAAAAGGATGGGGTAGTTTGGTTGGTCTGGTTGAGAAGATCGAGGACCGGACGGGTTTGATATTTTCGCTTTTTACTTAATTTTAGTTTTAAATATAATCACCACAGCAACCCCTTTTCCACCTGCACTTAATTTTTGTAAATTGGAATACCTATTATACCTTCTCTTTCCTTGTGATATTTTAACATGATTACGATGTGTGTCAAAGCGTGTGCCTGTGTGTGAGAGTGTTTTGAGTATGCCCTTTGAACTTTGAAGTTTGAGGCGTTGAGCATATTTTGTGGAGTCGAACTGAAGACGATGAAGTTGATAGAACCATCCGAAAGAGTTTTCATGGCAATGTTCAGGCTGGGAGTTGAACTCACAAGAGCATTGAAAGGCTGCACAAGGCTGACGAAGGTCCACAGATTTTGCAGCTCCCCTTGGACAAGGGGGTCCTTCGTAAACAGTGCGACGATCTCGTGTTCAAATAGCAGATAGATAATGGTCAGCAGACATCCTGCAGAACACAAAGTATTCATCACCGTCATGGCCCGACTCATGAGGACGCTTCTTTCTTTCTTTCTTTCTTTTCCTCGTGATTATTTGGACTCAATAGATTCATTTATTGGTTTCATTATTTCATTATGCGATGACTCTGATGAGTGAACAGTGTGAAGAGGGAATTATGATTCAATTATCAACTTTCATATTAGTTTTTAAAAAATTTAAAAAAGTTTAAAAGGTAATAAAAAGTTAAAAACCCGTTTCTTTTCAACTTTTCAACTTTTCATGATTTAAATTTTAAATTTCAACTTCCATCCGAGTTTTTTTTTTTCCCGAGGACCCAAGAGAACACAAAATTTCAGAGGCGGTCACAAGACAGGCGCACTACCCCGCCTTCCAGGACAATTCTACCACCATGATATCCGTATTTCCTCTCTCACTTCTTGCCCCTCCACTTTCTTGATTTTGGATGTCTTCTTTCTTTCAAAAGGGCAACGTCTTTGCTTTAGGCTAGTATTTTTCCTGCGTTGAAAATCCAAGCTTCAGTTCATCAATTATTTAAACGGCTCGGTCCCCTTGGAAATGGTGGGACGCTGGACCCGGTTTGCAGCACAAGCTGAAGCTGGGTAGTTCGGGGGAAGACGGTTATGTGAGTACGCCCTTAGCAACACACAGGGATCATGCCCTAAGCATCACACAGGGATCATAAATGTCAACAAGCTATCTTTCAGTGGTATACAGTCACGATGAAGGCGAAATGTGCTCAGGGCAAGGTAGTAGTGTGAGTATGTCCTTAGCAGCAAACAGGGAGCAGTACACAGTACGTAAGGAGGAGTACACAGTACGTATCACATACAGTACCTCAGGGCACGTTTTGTTTTGCATAATACAAATTTCTGTTGCACAGCAGCTTGTGACACAGAGCACAAGGATTTAGTACCAGACGACAGTCAGGACACAGCATTTAGTACCATACAGAGTACCAGACGACAGTCACGACACGGCATTTCGTACCACATAGTACTACTGCATAGCACATACTATTAGGATAACGATTTAGATTCTACTTCCCATAAGACACGAGATTGGGTCCATTCACACCGAGAATCCAATATTTCTCATATCAAACATAATAGACTCGGACTTGTTCAATTATGAAATCACTACAAAAGTACGATAATTCTGTTTTATTTAGGACCACATAGTTCCGCATAGCACATAGGATAACAATACGCGCATTTCACATTCCAGCGGATACAGCATTAGTACCACATAGTGCGACATGGCATGGTATTGTACCGCATTGTACCACATAGGACAATAATGCCCACTCTGCATCCAGCCTAAACCCTCGACCCACACTCTTAGTACGGCGGTCCTAAGCTCGGTTACTCCCTCGGCACAAGTGGCAGTCGTCAGCGGATTACTTTCCCCAACCTTATTGTATCCCTGTTGATTAAAAAAGGATTCGAAGTCACGACCTGTCTATCAACAGTTACGGAGTTACATCATTCATTACATGTGTGAACTCGATGTCATCATCGCAATGAGAAGTTACGGGAAATGATAAGAAGCATTCCTGAAAGCTGGCAAGAGGCCCTTAAAGAGGACTTCTCTTGGAAACCTGGAGAATGGAGGGTAGAAATTCAAGAAGTACCTCCAACCCTCGCATACCAGTCCGTACACAGGCCTAACACCAATAGCTATTTGGCTGTGTTACATCCCATCTGTACTGAATCAAGACCCAAAAGAAGGTCACTCTCGATGGGTATCACGCTTTTGTGAGGATTTGAGCCCTCGGCAGTGCTGGAAAAGGCCTCGCCCACCCTAAGTGAAGGCGGGCTGGCTAGTATGTGCCAAGGCCTGGGTACAGGCCAGTGTGATCGCGCTAAAGGGCTGTTGGAATCTATATGCGGGCCTGAATCTGTGCAGTGGCCCTTCTAGGGCTCACCCCACATCTCGGCTGAGGCCCCGTACAGACTTGTGCCCCCCCTTAGTGAAGGCAGGCCAGAATATTTACGAGAAGCCTATTTTTCAAATATTTTTTGTCAATTCTGCATGTCGGGTATCAGACAGTTGCAGCACACCAGTTGGTTACAGAGTAACATGAGCTCTTTTCTTGGCTCATTCCGGCAGCAGAAGCTCGAGGCGTGAGCCATCAGAGGCCAACACATCACAGAACGGCCGCGGGCCAATGAGAATGCAGCATCTTCGTCACACACTGGCCAGCAGCCAATGAGATCGCGGCAGACACTTGTATCCTCGTGGGCTACCTGGGCGTGCCCAACTGTAAAGGCGCCCAGACCCGTAACAGCAACTGGGCCCCTGGGCGCAGACACTTGGCCCCGACTGGAAGCTACTGGAAACTCGTCCAGCCAGGCCCAGAGCTCGACAAAGCAGAGCTCACTTTCCATAAAGGAAAGTGAGCACGGCAGCCAGAGGGGATTCCGGCCGTGTGCTTGCTGGCGGCAGCACTTCTGGTTTGAGCGCTGGAGGCCGCTGGTAGGCCTAGGGCAGGAAGAGGCGCACACGGGCGCATTGTGCTATTGGGCGCTGCTGGTGCAGCTGGCGCTGAGCAGCCATAGCCAGGCTTGCTCAGCGGAGGCTGGTGGTCCTTGGGTGTCGGGGATGCGCACTGTGGGAAGTCAAGGTGTGATGCGAGAGGAGAGAGAACGTACCTGGTGTATGCTGGCGGTCTGCATTGGTGATGACGTCACGTACATTGGTCTTCGACTTCGATGTGATCCAGTTCCCTGAACGTAGATAGGCATAGATAGGCTGAGTTCTGTAGGCTGGGCGCTGGGCGCCAGACAGCAGGAGCGACATTGGATACTGTGTTGGTGAGACCAAGAGCATCGACATTGACATATGAGTTCATTGTATTGCTCTTATTTGGATGGGCACCTTGGTGCATTGTGCTCTCTGCTTGGTACACGACTGTCTGCCAGTATCTGGGCTACTTCGTGATTTTGCAATCTGGACATCTGTCTATCGCTCTCGCTCATATTCCTTGCACTTTACGCAAAATTGGAGTAATGGTGCTATGCCACCATGGCCAAAAAAGTTGGAGAAACGATATTCCAAATCCAAACCTTCATCCAGGACCTGGGATTTGACCCCCATTCAGCTCAATGGGGGTGGCAATTGAAGAAAGGCAAAAGGGAAAACGTAACCTTACCAATTTTAGAGTACACGGCCAAAGTAGGGTACGAGATGCTACTAAAGACACAAGACCCATAACCGACAATTAGACGCAGATGGACAAGGCTGCTAGGGGAAGAGTTGAGGCTAGCCGCGGCGAAACAACCCGAGCATGCACGAGAGCAATCCGACCCGATGTGAACAGACAAGTGAGAATAGATTACACCTTCTGCTCATTCACTCGCAAGTTCACACAAAACATTTAAACATCCAATGTCTGACGCATCCAAAATGCGGGAGCACACCCCAACAGCAAAGTGGTTCCCTCTACCGGTTTCATCTGTCTGCACAGGCAGGAGGGTGGAAATGATCCTTCTGCCAAAAGAGGGACACCAAATAACCGAAATACCATGGGAAAAGTCCAAAAAAATGACGCCCAATCAACGTTAGAAGTTAGAACTTAGAAGTCTCCAATGGCCGTCCTTCGGGTCCTTCGAGAAATGGTCCCAAAAAGGGGAAAAAAAAAAAAAAAAAAAGTCTCCAATGGCCGTCCTTCGGGTCCTTCAAGAAATGGTCCCAAAAGGGAAAAAAAAAAAAAAAAAAAAAGTCTCCAATGGCTGATGACATATGTTACCCTGCCAGTCAACCACTCGTTACATAGCAGGAGGAGGAAAAGAGACCCCAAAAGCTCGGGTAGAAGCGTGGTTTGCTCAGACCAAGAGCAAGAAGACTTGCTAAACTGTCTAATCATGTGTAAAGCAGCAGCAGAACTATGGGCAAGGGGGGCCTCTAACTCATGGGACCGCCTCTTCTCGTTCCCCTTCCCTGAGCACCCCGCTCATCAAGCCAGAAAAACAGTGGCCAAGGGTCTGATCCCGAAAGCGACTCTATGGGTAATACGGAAAGAAAGATGCAGCAGGACTCTGGATGAGACCAAGAACGCCATTGACAAAGTCTGGGCCACAACAAAGACGGTGATGGAAGCAAAAGATTCTATGCACATGGCCAAGGGTCAAGGAGACGGTACAGAACTTCCTGTACACGGGTAGGATACACCTGGCGGCGTGGAGGAGAATCTGGCTAGCCAAGGACAAGGTGGCAGACGTTAACAACATGCAGCTGAAATTCAAGGACTGGCATAATTCAGAGATTCCAGTATGGAGACAGAGCTCTCAGACAGATAGGCCCCGGAGCCCTAATAGCTCATGACAACCTGAAGGAAGGAAGGAAGGAAGGAAGGAAGGAAGGAAGGAAGGAAGGAAGGATTCCTTCTTATGATTCTTGATGTGTATACTACTGTACAGTCAGATCTGACAGGTCCACAGATAGAACCTGAGAGGAATACATGAGGAGGGCAAGCGGAGGACAGTCAATTGTCCTGTAACAGGGAGCAATCAATGCTGATCAGCGATCCTTCAGTCAAACGGAAGGATGCGTGAGGGTGTAAACGATGTATCCAAGGATTTTGACTTGCCGGGGGAACAGGAACCGGACTGACGCTCCCCAGAATGGATATGGAGCCAGGACAATTACAAAAAAAAGGAAAAAAGAATTCAAGTTCTTTTTGTTTTGTTTTTTTTCCGGCTTCTTCATCAATAGCGGTTGTGTAGGTCGGTGGCTTGAATTTCAACTGGCCAAGTAGTATGATTGCTTGCTTCCAGTTCGCATAAAACATGCAGCGCATCGGCATGCGCTGCAGCGCGCACATGCACCGCACCGCGCAGCGCGCATGATGCACGCGCATGCCATGCAGCGCACAGGCAAATCGAGTGGTTGAAAAAAAAAAAAGGAAAGTTTGGGGGGGGGTTTGTATGCCCGGTAGGGACTTCGCGCCGCCGGCTACAAAAAAAAAATAAAAAAATTTGAGGCCGCGAATGCCCCCGCAAAAAAAAAAAAGAGCGGGGAGATCCAAGCAGTTCATTTTTTGAACTGCTCGAACCTGCCCCACGTCGGCCCCCAGCCCGGCAGTCGACCGTGGTGCCCCGACGCCACGCAGTCCTTCACGGCCGCCGTGTCTCGTCGTCGCCGTCGTCGTCATCTCGTACTCCTCTTCTCGTGTTCACTGCAACAGGAAGCAGCTCCCCACTTCATCGTTCAGCCATATCCCGTGCAGCTGTGAACAGCAGCACGAAGGAGCCAAGGGTCGCAGCACTGGGAGGAAGCGAAGGAAGCAGCGGCCATATCCAGGTGGGTTACCMCCMGCCCCTCTCTCTCTCTCTCTCTCTCTCTCTCTCTCTCTCTCTCTCTCTCTCTCTCTGTGGAAACTGTGCAGCTCCTCCTCCTCCCCATTTCTCCCTTGCCATCGTTCTTCTTCCCCCTTCTCCCTCCTTCGTCAAGTTCTCTTCCTCCCTCCTCCCTTGTCATCGATCTCCTCCTCCATCCGCCGTTGTCCTCCCCTTCCCTCCATCATCGGTGTTGTCCTCCCTCCRCCCTTCTCCCTTCCCCCTCCTCCCTCGCTATCGATCTACTCCTCCCTCCTCCATTCCCTCCCTCATCATCGATCTCCTCCTCCCTCCGTCGTTGTCCTCCCTTCCCTCCATCACTGGCGCCGTACTCCCTCCGCCCTTCTCCCTTCCCGCTCCTCCCTCGCTATTGAACTCCTCCTCCATCCTCCATTCCCTCCCTCGTCATCGATCTCCTCCTCCCTCNCTCCGCCCTTCTCCCTTCCCGCTCCTCCCTCGCTATTGAACTCCTCCTCCATCCTCCATTCCCTCCCTCGTCATCGATCTCCTCCTCCCTCCGTCGTTGTCCTCCCCCTCCCTCATGCATCATCGGCGTCGTCCTCCCTCCGCCCTTCTCCCTTCCCCCTCCCTCATGCATCATCGGCGTCGTCCTCCCTCCGCCCTTCTCCCTTCCCCCTCCTCCCTCGTTATCGATCTCCTCCTCCCTCCTCCATTCCCTCTCTTGTCATCGATCTCCTCCTCCCTTCATCGCTGTCGTCCCCCTCCCTCCTTCATCATGTCGTCCTTTTTTTTTTTTTTTTCATATATGAAATTTTTAATAGTGCACCACTGCTCCCCCTCCCTCYTYCATCATYGRCGTYGCCCTCCCTCCACACTTCTCCCTTCCCCCTCCTCCCTCGCTATCGATCTCCTCCTCCCTCGTCATCGATCTCCTCCTCCMTTCGTCGKTGTCCTCCCCTTCCCTCCATCATCGGTGTCGTCCTCCCTCCGCCCTTCTCCCTTCCCCCTCCTCCGTCGCTATTGATCTCCTCCTCGCTCCTCCATTCCCTCCCTCGTCACCCATCTCCTCCTCCCTCCGTCGTTGTCCTTCCCTTCCCTCCATGCCCGAGCGCACCATGCGCGCAAATGCGCGCGGCACGCACACGCCCCGGCGCACTGGCGCACTGCGCATCCAAGTGCCGCGCAGCGCATCCCACATTGCGCACTGCGCATCGATGCGCGCGCATCGCGCATCAATGCGCGCACCCCCGACGGCCGCACGGCGCGCTGCGCACCGCACCGCATCGCGCAGCGCATGGATGCGCCGCAAGTATGGTTTGCATGCAGTTAGGTCATCTGGGGTTTACTTCGATCTCTGATTAGCTAGCTAGTTTAAAGTATGTGATATTTGAAGTATGTGATATTTTTAAAGTGTGCGATATCTGAAGTATGTGATATTTAAAGTATGTATGTGATATTTATGGCTGCAGAACAGTGTTGCGTGGATTACTTTCGCCTAGGCGAGGCACTTGGGCATTTTTCAATTGCCCATCTTGTGTGGCACTGGGCACCGCCAGCCCAATGAGATTGCAGCAAGTAGATGGGAAGAGGACTAGCAATGATTCCCGGCAGCATGTGCCGGATTTCATTTGCGGAGGAATGAACTCTGTGAAGGCTGACTCCGCATCTTTGTTTTGTCGTGGGAAAAAAAAAAAAAAAAAAAAAAGAAAGGAGCGACATTTGTCAGTGTTGTCACAGAGCAGCTGAGAGTATATAAAAGGCTACAAGGCTAGAAAAAGCGCTTATTTGAAATGGAAACTTCTGGGGGGGAAATACACTCGTGTAAAGTCAGAAATACAACCGGATTCAAATATGGAATTTTACACAGCAGACAGACAAGAAAGATGGCTCACCTTTTTCTCATCCCGCTTCCTGTTGGGAGTTTAGTTAAGTATTTGCTATCACTGCTAAGGCACTTTGCCTCCCTTTCAGGGATCACGAAAAGGCAGAAGACGGCACAAAAGGACACGCCAGTTGGGCCTTACCTGCACCGAAGCCCATCTCCACAACGCGCCGTGTCATAAGCTTCAAGTCACTCAGCAGAGAATCCGCCTCTTCACCCCTCTGTGTGACCGCCAACTTTCCGGAGATGTTACTAAAGGTATTGGGAGGAAACGATCAGACACACACACAGAGTCATGTTTTTATATGGAGTTGTCTATGGCTATCACTGACAATAGTTTCACACATTTAGAAAATTCAAAATTGCACTATCACAACAACAACAACAACAACAACATCATCATCATCATCATCATCATCATCATAATAATAATAATAATAATAATAATAATAATAATAATAATAAAAAATAGTAATAACAATAATAATAATAATTAATCAGTCCATGTTTTGTAAAGGTGTTGAAAGCAGTCCGAGAGCTATTCTGAAATGTGTTTTGATTTCTTTTGACCTTTTGAAATTTGAAATTTGAAGTTTTAACTTTGGACTCTTTTTTGGAGTTTTGAGCGATCTGTTTCTCATGAGTTGGATGTGTGCCCTCTTGAGCCACAAAGCAGATACGGAGTTTTTTTACTGGCAATGTTCCATTGGTGCCATCCAGATATCCGGAGCACTGTGCTAGGCTTCAGGACGTTGATTGAGCCAGAAAAGGCCCTGCAGCCACCGCCCTAAGTGAAGGCGGGCCTGGTGAAAATGCAGCTGGCCCTAGGAAAAGGCTAATGTGAGCAGAAGAGGGCTCCAGGCAGTTACAAGCACATGTGCAGCATCTGGGCCCACAAGTTTGTTGCAGACGCTGGGTATGCCTGCACATTCTAGAAAGGCCAGAGTGCAGGAAACTGGGATAGCGCACCGTCTGCCTGGGCCAGCCTCCTCAGCCTCTCCATTCAACAGAAAAGACTGGAGGCTGCCCAGTCTTACACATTCGGGCATTGTGCCAATGCGGCAGCGCTGCTGGAGCAGTAGCTGAGCGCTGTGCTAGTGGGAAGCTGCTGCGGTGGCAGCGAGAAAGAAAAAGGGAGAGCGTCCACCATAGCCGGGCTGAGCGCTCCATAGCCGGGGTGGTGGAGGTGCAGGAGGTCCTTGGTGGAACAAGGAGTGAGGGGCGAGGAAGAGAGGCGATGTGAACGAGGCAAGTTCCTGGTGTTATCAAAGACAGGCTGTTCGGTCAGAGTCTTTGAGCGGCATTGGGCTTATGACATGTGGACTGATTGCTGGCATAGATAGGCTGATTGCTGGCATAGATAGGCTGGTCAGACAGGAGCGATAGGAAGTAGAGCCGGCGTCCAGGACGCCTATACGAGGGCTACATTGTTGTTGCATTGATGATTGGAGGCACTGGAAGGGCTTTCTTTATCAAGAGACTTTGGTGTTTTGTTTGTTCCTATTTGGTGTGCATTTAACTGCGCTTTCGTTAGAATCGAGTTTCTTCCGTTTCGTAATGTGTACTTGAGTGACCTAAAGAGGTCGTTTGCCGTGTCCGGTAAGGGACATCTTGTGCGATGAGTAGTGGTCCGCGCCCCCTCAAAAAGAACTCTGACATCTGGACAGTCTGGGCTTGGCAATGTTCGGTTCTCCAGAGCTCTGGCCCGTACTCCCGACATCTGGATCAGTCCGGCCAGGTGGAGTTCAGAGTCTTAAGACACAGAAAAGAGATAAGTCCAAAACACCTCTCAGGCGAGTAAACAATTTCATGCGATTGAATGAACAAACAGCAACTGAGCATACATCAGGTGGGCATGGCATCCCTGACCAGTTTCAACGCAGCCAGCCAGTCTCTGCAGGGGGGTAACCATATTCTGGGTCACCTCGTTCCATTACACCCCCTCCAGTGAATACACTCCGACATCTCTGGAAATGTCGGAGGGTGCTGTAACGTCGGACCCTCTGGCAATGGCAGAGGGTGCCGGTTCCCTGTCCTGATTGTTCCCGGATTCGTCCGGGTTCGACTCCGGTGTAACCATGAGTTCAAGAAATCATTTTCATAACTCGTGCTTACCTACCAAGGTTCTAGGAATACCTACCAGGGGTGTGGGTGGTTTCGCTAACAGCTGGATAGAATCGAAGTAGAGCAGTGAGATGTACTGCGGCAGAACTAGAGCCGCATTATGGGAGAAAGAAAAAGAAAACAACAAAAAAAAAAATGCAACTGCTTCTCCAGACAGGTTACTACCAGACGCATCCACCGGCAGATGATGTGAATCTGGTTGTCAAAATAAGGAAGTAAATGTGGAAGATTGGGCAAAGGAGAAAAACGGCCCCAATCATGGGCCTAATACTGAAAATCTGAACAGACTGTGACATGGCCCCTGCACAAGGATGACATGCACAAACGCCACAAATCGACGATTCAGGGTTTCAGCATAAGGGGGACTTAGGGGCCTTTAGCCTGTTTTAATGGCTGTGATGTCCCCAAGGAAATCAGTCAACAATTCTTTTCTGACTGACAAGTTGATCAGATTCCAACACACACTGAAGGTGCTACTCCTCTGCATGCCCGAGGGATTTCCCCGTTTCAGGGTGCTGCCCAAAGCATCATGGAGATCATGACCACAAAGCTCCTCTTCTACAGTTCTACCTCTGCTAACAGAGGAGAGAACTCCCTTTTCTGCACGAAGGGGGAGGTAGGGCAACTGCCCAATCCTCCCCTTCCCCTTCCTCTTCCCCTTTGCAAAAAAATGGCTCTGGAAGAAATATCCATCCCAGTGTAGGCCCAGTATTCCTTTTTTGGCATTCCCAACTGTTCAGAGATGGTCTAGAAACAAGGTGGAAACCATGGTTGTTAACTGTCCGGATCCAGACGGTCCGATCTGGATGTCCGGGTCCGGTGTCAGGTTTGTGGGGTCCGGGTGGGCCCCGTCTCAAGAAAATTCGGAAGTTCTTTTTGGGGTCACCAGGCAATTTTCCAGTGCCTGGTGGACCCCCGAAAATTATTGGCGCAATTTTTGGTGGACCGTTGGGCCAACCGGACCGGTTCTGAAGGGCCTGTACTTGCAATCTTCGGTGAAATTCAGCAGGCCAAGGGGAACTGGAGGTTGGAGGCATTCGCTGCCCGCCGGCAGGAGGCCATTTTCGAACTTCGCATCTCCTGTAGCAGCCATCCGCCCTGCACACGAGTGCTCTCCGACAGTATATGCCCCCTCCTGCCACACCATCACCAGGTTCATGTTGTCTATTTGAATTTTGAAATCTATTTAACAATTTGTGCAGTCATGCGTGTGTGTGTGTGTGTTTCTTGAAAACTGCACCACAACAGCCCCTATTCCATCCAGACGAGTAGATACGAGTTGAGCCAGCTCAACAATTAAAGAATGTCAGCTCTTGAGCAAGCAACATTAATCATAATAGAAGTGTTTAGAACATACATGCGGCGCATCGCAATGCGCTGCACTGCGCACGTGCGCCGCACCGTGCATCTCGCACCACGCGCGCGCACTGCATGCAGCGCACCTCCAAAAATTGGGGTCAAAAAAAAAAAAAAGAAGTTGTGAGGGGCGGTAGTAGACCCGGCCCCCTGCTCGCGTAAAATAAGAAACGGGCAGCCAAATTTTTTTGGGAGGCCGCGCGTTGGCCTGAAAGCTTTTAGTAACCTGTAGTTCGGGAACACTGTGTGTGTGTGGTAGGGTTATTGCAGTCTGTATGGTAGGGTTCTTGCAGGCCAGATTCAGTCATGATGAGGGTC